ATATGTATAATCATTACTGTGGTTTACAATATTTGGGAGTTCGTATGTCAAGTATTTATGCAGAATTAACAACAAGTTCGATGGTCAAAGACGCTTTATTAAAGTCAAGATTGTTATTGTACCGCTGCTAGAAGGTCTTGAATGCATATTTTCAAATTCAGACGAAGAACAACATTCTCGCTTCCTTAACTGACCCAACTTGTTTATATACCTGGTGTGTATGTGGTCTGTTCTGTTGTGTTCAGCGATGTATTCTCGTTTGCAGCCACGGGAGCTCCGGTGAAGGGGTTGACGCCAACTCCAGCGCTGGTTGGCGGCGGCATAGCAAAGACAGGTTGCCCACCTGCCTGCTCCCTGGGCTGAGTTGTAACAGGTGCGCCTCCAGCACCCAGGTTGACATCGTCGAGATCAACGTCCTCCTGTATGGGCAAAGATCAGAAATAAGTTCCGGTAAGATTTTGTTCACTTAAATAGGTCAAAGGGCATGTAGAGCTGTATACTTTATCTGCATTGTTTAGTCAATGAGTTTTCTAGTTAGTATAGGAAGCGTTATGCCATTTACAAACAAATATTTTACAATGCTTTTCTCAGCCTTCGCAAACTAAAATGGCGCAAACAGAACCAAAAATAAAAAGAAACAGAAAGTAGATCTACATATTACATTTTACATATTACGTGATTACGAGATTACATAGTACAACTTCTAGTAGATGATAATTAGTTTATGAGAGAGTTCATTTACCCAGAGGAGGACCAAGCCAAATCATCTCTTGTTTCGACTGAATAGGGACTCGATTTAAATTGTATAGAACTTCTAAATTTTGATTGTTACGATGCTCGTGTTAGTTTGGTACGTGTGGATAGTTACATCGGGAATATATATATCTATGCCTTACATCATGCGCAACTCATGCCGGAGTCGTTTTCTATTTCTATACTTACAAGACGTGGCTGCTGTCCCAAGTGCGATGGCAGATCGCTGGCCTCTCGATTGCCATCAGAGCGCTGGGTTGTTTATATATGGCAAAACATATCACATACATATGCACGAATCGAACGAAACGGTTCGGATCAAGTCGGACATATATAGTAGATGTGCATATATATTTGCGATATAAATTTAATATGAACCGCGCGCAGGCGCAATTGTGTGTGAGGTTGTAGGTGGGTATGATGAGTCGATCGAAAGGTGGTTTTGAGAAAAAATAAACAAAATTAGAAATTTAAATTTGTTGTATTCCTTATTGCCTTCACATACATGCAATTATACACATAAGTAGTACGTACAAAAGAAAATCGAATTCAAACATATACATATACATACATCTTTACATGATGTATACGTATAGACAAGAAAACAAGCGCAATCAATCTCATTATGTAGACAAAGGGGAAGACTTTAGAAGAAAAAAGAAAGAGGCGAATATCGTTTGTCAGCTCGAAAATAATCAAATAGCGAATTTCCTCCTTTGCCTTTAAACAAAAAATTGTGTTGGTTTAACTTTCATTTATCATTGAGTTGAAATTCGAGTGCTTATTTATGTATTAGTAGAACCTTCAAAGCATTTGATGATTTTCGTGGAATCCGCATTCAAAGCAAAACAAATAATAAACAGGAATGGAGACAAATGTTGAAAATGATGATGGAAACATTTGTGGGGGGTGTTGTAAGTGGTGTCGTATATACCTTCGCCTTTTGCGGAGAACTTAAGCTACATACTTACTTACCTCAACATAAACAAAATATGAGATAGTTATTAGAGTACAAATGAAGTTCAAATTCAAAATGATATAAAGCTCGTTAAATGCACCAATTCAAGCAAATCATAGCAAAACTTCATAGCGAAATACTGGTTAAATTGTAGGAGTTCTAGTTTCGTTTTTGTAAAGCAAGAAAACTACTTTTGACTAAACAATCGCCTCACAAAAATCATCAAAACATGTCCAGTGTTGTATTAGAATACATTTTAGCGGGCGCTTCGGGAAAAGTGTTGTGTCGCAAAGATATATACATAAACAAGCTCTGTGTGTGTGTGGGTGTGTGCGAATTGTTTCAAATGTATTGCGATAGCATTCACTGAGTGTTGTGTGGTGTTCATATTGAAATCGATTGTTTTTCTTGTTTTTTTGTTGACTTTCTTTTTGTTTATTATAATTTTTGGAATGGTTAGTATGTGGGCAGGGGCGCAATCAATAACCTATAACCAAATCAAACATCAAACATCACTCACATTCAAATGTGAATACTGGTCGTGCGACTCGTTCACCGGTGGTTTAAACTTGCCGCAGCAGAAGTTGCAGCAACAGCAGCAGCAGCAACAACAACAGCATCCTGTCAGCAGTGTGCAGCAAATGACCAAGGCCTGCAAAAACAGAAAGAGAAACAAAGACGTGAGACGGGATCTATGGAATCCATTT